TGGCGGCGCCCCCCGGCCACGCTGCCCACGCGGACGGGCTCCTCCACGGGGTGGTTCTCCTGCTGCAGCAGCACAGCCTCAAAGATCACCCCCGTGTAATAGTCCAGGCCCCGCGCCAGGCTCAGGTCGAAGGAGATCTGGGGGACACCAGGGCAGCCCCGTCACCCCACGGGCGCACGCAGGGGGCCCGGGCTGCCCGGCCAGGGGGGCAGCGCCCGCCCCGGCCCCCGCCCCTCCTCACCTTCCCCGTGATGCCAAACAGCGCCAGGTACTCGAACAGCAGCTTCATGTCCCCCAGCCCCTCCTTGGCCAGCTTGTTCTGGGACAGCCTGGGGTCCTGCAGGAGCCGCTCCACCAGCTCCAGGCCGCCTGTGGGAAGGAGCCGCTGCCTCAGGGCTGCCCGGGCCGGGTCCCCCCGGGCTGCCCGTGCTGGGCTGGCAGGAGCAGGCCCAGGGCTGCACCCCCTGCTCACCCTGCAGCTGCACGTACTCCCCGATGCGATCTGCAGCCTCAGGAGAGAGCCCCTTCTCTCCCACCATCTCGCTCCTCACCTCTTCCCACGGCATCTGCGGGGGGACACGAGAACCTCTGAACGCTGCTCAGGACACATGTGCCCTCAACAGATCTTTATAGGTGCATGAGAGAAGCAGCAGATCAAGTGCTTTCAGAGCATGGTCATTGGTCCTAGCTCCATTTCTTGTCCCCCTGGGCAGTCTCTTTGTATCCCAACCTTGCAGTCAGCAAAGCTGCCCAATACTTGCAGTCCCAGTGTGGATACTTTGGTTTTGGTTTCTGGCCAGAAATCAAACACTGGTACTGTAAAAGCACCAGCTGAGAGAGGTCTCTCTGCTGTGGTTTCCCTGGTAGGGTCATTACCCTTCAACACCAGTCAAGAAAGTGCTGCTGGTCATGCCCAGCACCTGGAAAGGTGTGAGGAGGTGCCTGGGCCATGCACATTCCAGTGGAAGCAGAACACGCTGCAGCTTTCCCCCGACCAAGGGGTCAAAGAGAACCAGTCTTGGTCCCATCGAGCTGCACTAATGGAAATCACAACAGCATTTCAGCATGAAAAGAAAGGAACAATCCCATTCCCAAAAAGCCCAGTCCTCCCTTCTTATTGCTTTTCCACACACACAGAGCCCCAAAACACTGGATACTGGAGAGGCAAGCATAGTGCCCAGTTTTCCCGTCTGACCGCTGAGCCCCACGTGCCCCCCCTCCAGAGAAAGGCTGGAACAAAAACACTTCCATGTTGCTCAGCATTTTCCAGCCAGTTCTCCTGCCTTGTGGTAAGAGCAGCCCCGAGGGACACAGACTCACTGCAGCAGTGGCAGCTGCAGCCTGGGGCTCCAGCCCTACCTTGTCCAGCTTGTCCACGCTGGAGCAGATGGTTCGGAACTTGCTGTCTGGGACCCCACAAACCGCAAACATCCCATCCAGGATGCGCCGATCGTTGACCTGGCAGAGAGGGAACAAGTCATTCACCACCAACTCAACAGGTGCTTCAGCTCTGTCCACTTTCTTCTCTAAGCACAGGAGAGAACTGGTGTCTGCCAAGATCTCTTGCTGTCTGCAGTTCCTCCCTTCCCCTCTGCTGGGGAGCCAAGCTGCCCCTCTGCCCACAGCAGCTCAGCCAGGACTGACTCCTGCAGAGCCAGGGAAGAGCCACCACACCCTCCTCCAGCCAGACACCTCCCTCAACAGAGAAGAATAACCAAGAGGGCCTGTGGGTCCTCTGAAGGGGACATGTGAAAACAGCTCAGGAAGAGACCACAGACTAAGGAGATGAATTCAGTGTGCTACCCAGTGTAAGAGCACAGGGACATCTGATCATCTTAAAACCTCCTCCCTAAGGATTTATTTGTTGGGGATTTTTTAATAGCACAGTGAATTCCAAAGTGAACCATGCTCTGTAACAGTAGGTAATTGAGGCCAAAGCCTGAGCTATGTTCAACACTTCCATGGTTAGTGAGAACATCTGATTAAACTAAACAGAAAAAAAAGACTGCTCAGGTGCCTGACATCCTCCAGCAACATCAACCAGTGGCTCACAGAAGAGAACAACCTCAGCAGGTTAGTCTGCTGTTGCCCATTGCAGTGGTGCCTCCTCATCCTCCCAGGCATCTGCTCTCAGCACCCCGACAGGCAGGAGCTGGGCAGGCAGCTCCTGTGCATGGCCCTGCAGCTCATCCCAGGGGCAGGTAACCAGGCAGGAGCTCAGCACCCAGCCCACACTGCAGAGCCCACCAACGTCTCTCTGAGGTCCCACCACCCTCCTGCACACCAGGCACTCCCACCCACTGCTCTCCCACTGCTGTGCACCCATCCCACCCAACCCACACACCCAGCACCATCTGCTGCCACACCAAGATAACAGAGGCTTCAAAGCAAACAGCAAGTTCAACCTGCAGCAGGACACAATTCTTCTTCTGGAAGATGCCTCAGCCCCAGGAAGGGCACGGTAAGACCCCACGGCGGCAGTGGCAGCTGCAGCCTGGGGCTCCAGCCCTACCTTGTCCAGCTTGTCCACGCTGGAGCAGATGGTTCGGAACTTGCTGTCTGGGACCCCACAAACCGCAAACATCCCATCCAGGATGCGCCGATCGTTGACCTGGCAGAGAGGGAACAAGTCATTCACCACCAACTCAACAGGTGCTTCAGCTCTGTCCACTTTCTTCTCTAAGCACAGGAGAGAACTGGTGTCTGCCAAGATCTCTTGCTGTCTGCAGTTCCTCCCTTCCCCTCTGCTGGGGAGCCAAGCTGCCCCTCTGCCCACAGCAGCTCAGCCAGGACTGACTCCTGCCGAGCCTGGGAAGAGCCACCACACCCTCCTCCAGCCAGACACCTCCCTCAACAGAGAAGAATAACCAAGAGGGCCTGTGGGTCCTCTGAAGGGGACATGTGAAAACAGCTCAGGAAGAGACCACAGACTAAGAATTCAGTGTGCTACCCAGTGTAAGAGCACAGGGACATCTGATCATCTTAAAACCTCCTCCCTAAGGATTTATTTGTTGGGGATTTTTTAATAGCACAGTGAATTCCAAAGTGAACCATGCTCTGTAACAGTAGGTAATTGAGGCCAAAGCCTGAGCTATGTTCAACACTTCCATGGTTAGTGAGAACATCTGATTAAACTAAACAGAAAAAAAAGACTGCTCAGGTGCCTGACATCCTCCAGCAACATCAACCAGTGGCTCACAGAAGAGAACAACCTCAGCAGGTTAGTCTGCTGTTGCCCATTGCAGTGGTGCCTCCTCATCCTCCCAGGCATCTGCTCTCAGCACCCCGACAGGCAGGAGCTGGGCAGGCAGCTCCTGTGCATGGCCCTGCAGCTCATCCCAGGGGCAGGTAACCAGGCAGGAGCTCAGCACCCAGCCCACACTGCAGAGCCCACCAACGTCTCTCTGAGGTCCCACCACCCTCCTGCACACCAGGCACTCCCACCCACTGCTCTCCCACTGCTGTGCACCCATCCCACCCAACCCACACACCCAGCACCATCTGCTGCCACACCAAGATAACGGAGGCTTCAAAGCAAACAGCAAGTTCAACCTGCAGCAGGACACAATTCTTCTTCTGGAAGATGCCTCAGCCCCAGGAAGGGCACGGTGGGAAGGCAGGGGTGTGCAGAGCAGCACACACACTGAGGAGGTGTCCCTGCTAAAGGAGCACCAGGAGCTTTGACAAGGGCAAGCCTGTGTTTTACTGTAGGCTGTGAAGGTGACAGTCACCCCATTAAGTCATCTGGTGTGCAGGGGACTCTGGTCAGTGCCAGACAGAACCTAATTAACCGCAGCAGTTAAACACCATCATTTAACATGACACACAGAATGAGTTCTCAAGGGGAACATTTTATCTGGAGCTTCAGCTTTTGCAGTTTTTCCTTCTCTCTTCCACATCCAGTGGGATTCTTGCCAATTCCTTGCAGCAGGTGGGATAAAACCCTGTGGCTGCATTTACAAACCAGCATTATCACCTTTTCATTTTCTTGTGTGCCCCTTGAAAATGGAGCCACAGTTGGGACAGTGTTAAGGAGCACTTTATTAGCTAAAAGTCAGCTAAATGACTGTATCTGAGATTATCTGCAAGTCAGAGGCTTTGAATTTGGGTAATACATCAGGACTTAAAGAATCATGGAATGGTTTGAAAGGCACCTTAAAGACCATCTAGATCTAACCCCCTGCATGGGCAGGGACACCTCCCACCAGCCCAGGCTGCTCCAAGCCCCATCCAACCTGCCCTTCAACACTGCCAGGGATGGGGGAGCCACAGCTTCCCTGGGCAGCCTGGGCCAGGGTCTCACCACCTTCATAGCAAAGAATTTCATCTTCATGTCTTACCTGAATCTCCCCTCTTCCAGTTATAATCCATCCCCCCTTGTCCTTGTACAAGCCCTAGTCAAAAGCCCCTCCCCAGCTTTCCTGTAGCCCCTTCAGTACTTGCCCACCTACTTTCAGAGTTAGACCCACACAGACTTGGAATAACAATCATCAGTTGCACCTTCATCATTTAGAATCAACATTTTAGCATAAACCAGAAGTGTCCTTTTCAGGAACTTCAGCATCTTGAAAATTCTGTCCTTTGTCTTATTTTTAAGATAATGCATTTGAACCAATTTAAGATACCTTAACTTGGGCCTCAGGAGGCCTGCAGCCTCAGGAGACCTCCTGGCACTCCCAGCTGAGGGCAAGTCTGACCTGAGGTCCAGCCTTTTGCCATCTGCACCACGAGGAAGCAGAGGCCTTGGTAAGAGCAGGACCAGGTGCTGCTGCCTGAAGCCACAGCAACAGCCAGCAGGGCTTCCCAGGGTGGCACAGAGAAACCCTCCTGGCCTCACCTTAATGAGGAAGTCCCCCAGCTGCAGGTCACTGAGGATCTCGTGCACAATTTTCAGGCACTCGGCGTCAGGAATCATGGGGTCAAACTGCCCGGCGATGTCAAAGTCCTGGGGATGAAGAAGGGCAGTGAGCAGGGCTGGGGGGGCTGCAGCAGGGCAGCTCAGCTGTCAGCAGCACTTTGCTCACAAAAAGCAGTAGGAATGGGCTTTAAGGAAGCACTAGCCCAGGTCCCAAACAGCCCAAACAGGGTCCCAAAGGGGCAGGGTGTGGGCTGTGACCCGCTCTGAAGGGGGCTCAGCAGGGCTCTCCCCTCCCCTGCACTGCAAAGTTTCTGTTCTGTGTCAGGGCCAGTGAACAGGCTGGGAGAAGCCATCCTGCTCTTCCCTGCTTTCTGCTCCTGGAGGTGTGACCTGCTCCCTTGCCTCTGACACAGCAAGTTGCTGCCTGATGCACTTGGAGGCAGAGACCCTTGAAAAACAACAAAAAGGAGACAGCAGAGCAATCAGCAGCAGTAAGTAAGCAGAACAAAGGAAGGGGAAGAGAATAGGACTTCTTTGGTGGGACCTAAATGCCTTGATTCTTAGGATGCTCTTTTTATAACACGCATGCCAATCAAGTGAATGACCAGGGAAGAAGACAAAAGAAGTCATCTCAACTGAGGTAAAATCAAAGTTTCAACTGCTGAAACAGAAAAAGAAATCAGAAAGCCTGAGTGGTCTCCACCAGAGATCACCAGATGAACTGTCATGTAGAACTAAAGCCTATCATCAATATTCAGAGAGAAATAAAACACAGAAGCAACAAGAGACCTCTTCTTTAACTCCCATTTGTGAATCCCTAAATGCAAAACCTTCAATGAGATTCTGAGTATAAGAATAATTGTAATTAAGTGGGTAAATTCCAACATGGCTTCACCAAGCTTCCAAAGTAAACTGGAGCCGTGGAGGAGGTAAGAGATGAGATCACATCAGATGAGATCACACCAGTCACTGCCTGATCAGCTGAGTGCAAGACAGGCTGATGCAATCCCTGTGGAAGTTGGGCAGGGTTTGGCACAGTCAAGGAAGTGCCACTACCACTGTACATGGCACAGGTGAAAATCTCACTGAAAAATACCCCACCTGAGAGCTGGTGAACTACCTGTAAGAAAAGATGCAGAAAAAGCTACTGGGCTGAGAAAAGCAGCAAAGAATTTCCAGGGAGGAAAGGCTGATTTATGTGGCCTGAGAAGAGAAAGACTTCCTGAATAATTTCCCAAATATTTATCTGGGAAGGGAGAAGAATCCATCTCAAGGGATGACAACTACTGGCATAGGAAGGAAATTATGAGACACAAGTAAGATTCACCTGGATACTAGAAAAGTGTTTCTAACTATTCTAGGAGTGAGATCTTGGGCCCCTCTTTCAGATGAGACAGCAGCAAAGACTACAAGCTGCCTAGAAATAGGAGTTCACCCAGCTGGAGCTGGAAGATCTTCCTGGGAGTTGTATGATGACACAGGAATATGTTTGTTTGCAGTATGAGGCCCTGGGGACTGCACTAGGACAGTGGAACAAAGTCATTCCTCGGGGCTACCACACTCATCTGAGAAAGCCATCAAGGAAATTGCTTTCTTGTCTACTCTGTAATTTGGCCTCCAGGTTTTTCCTGTCCTTTGAAGTAGATTGAGAGGGCACAGGGCAGAAGCAGCATCTGCTGAGGCTGATCCACTCACCAGCTTGGTTCATGGGTCCTGCTAACACAGCCAGGAGCTCAACTGCTGCCTGATTTGGGATGAGAAGGGAACTCTTCCCCTCCACCACCGTGGGATGGAGCAAGGACCTGCCCTCCTGCACCGTGCCAGGCAGGTGGAGTCACCTGGGGTAGCTGGGGACTGTGCTCCCTCTACCCCAGCACCCTGTGCCATCACCCTCACTCTCAAGCTGTTCTTCACGCCCGTAAGGACACATCAGGGAGAAAATCAGTGGATCTCCTGACATTTCCACAGCCACAGGGTAACACTGCCTTGGGGCCTAGGTTTTTAAAGTCCTAGGTCCCCAGCAGCAGTGCCCAGCCACCCAGCAGTGCCCCTGCCCAGGGCCAGACTCACACACTGGTAGAACTCCCGGTAGCGACCTCTGGTCATGGCCGGGTTGTCCCTCCTGTAGACCTTGGCGATGTGGTAGCGCTTGATGTTGGTGATCTTGTTCATGGCCAGATAGCGAGCGAAGGGCACCTGGGGTACTGGGGTTAAGGATGGGAACAGGGAGGGGCCACCCCACCAAGTTACCAGTCACAGGCAGTGCTGGGTCCTCACCATCTCCCCTGGGCACAGCAACTGCTGAGACAGCTGGACTTGCTGCAGCTGCCCAAGCCCTCCACAGCCACCCCAGACACAGCCCACACGTGCTGCCATGAAGGGCCCCCACAGGCATCTCCCAGCACCACCTCTGGCTGGGTCTCAGTCTCCCGTGGGCTGTATGCTACAGCAGCAGCCTGGTCTGGGGACCCTGCTGCAGGAGGAACCCCACATGCCACAGACCTTCCCCACCTCCACACACAAACGATGCTTCACCAAACAGAAACAAAGGGCAGTAAATATCTGAGCAAAGGTTCTGCATCCACTGAACCACGCTGCTTGTGCCCTCCCTGCTCCTCCCTCGCCCTCTGGACAGTGCTGCCCCAGAAGGGGGGTGGAAAAGGTGACCAGAGCCCTCAGGGCTGGCTGTGCAGGATACTGTCAGGTCATAGCGCAGGGACAGCAGCTCTCCCCCTTGATCTTTCAGATCATAGATGAGCTTTGAGTCTTCGCCGTATTTCCCTGTCAGCGTCTCCTACAACAAAAGGACACAGGAACAAAGCACCTTCAGTGACAGGGGACCAGCCCCAGAGCACGCAGGAACAGAGGAGGTGGGAGAAGGGAGCTCAGCCCTCCACACTTGGCAATCTTTCAGCTGCAGGCTCCTCATCAGCTCAGCCAACTCACTGTGTCCTCACTCACCTTCAGCTCAAACACTGGGGTGTCAATGACTTCTGCCCCGTGGCGCCTGAAGCAGCTGGTGATGGTGCTGAAGACCCTCTCCCTAATGGCCATCTGCTTGGGGCTGTAGTCCCGGGTGCCCTGGGGGGGAGAAGGAGGAGCAAAGGATGTGTTGGGTGAGGGGAGTGCAGGGGAGAGAGATGTGAGAGGCAACGAATCATGTTGGGGTTTGGAAGGGACCTCTGGAGATCATCTGGCCCAATAGGGTCACCCACAGCAGCTGCACAGGGTGGTGTCCAGACAGGCTGGGAATGTCTCCAGAGAAGGAGACTCCACAACCTGTCAGGGCAGCCTGTCCCAGGGCTCTGTTCCCCTCACACAGCCTGCCACTGGGTTTCTCTGGCTGGTGTGTGCTTGGCAGCTCCCTCACACCAGCAGAGCTGCATATCACAGCACTCTGTGCTCACCCAACCTACCAGCACCTTCCTCAGCTCCCTCCAGGTGAAGAGGGAACTGGAGCAGCTTGAGGATCCTTGAGAGCCAACACCTGTGGGCAGTGCTACAAGAGCTGAAGAGTCTTAACCCTGAACTCATTGGGATTCATAACCTGACTTCAGATAGTGCAACCCAAACAGACAGGAGACCTCTCGTGCCAGGCAGTGACAATAATACTTAAACAAAAGGGAATCTGATCTCCTGACCACACCAGCTACTGGCTGCCTTATCACAGAAGCACCAGAAGGTCTTTAAGTCAGTTGGGGATGTGTCAGATGCTGTCAGAGATGTTTCCAGCTCTTTTGCTGAGACTCTGCAAACAAGTGTATGTGGTAGGGAAGTTACCTTTGGGGTCTTGAGCACAAACTTGTGTTTCCCCTCATCTCCCCCCAGCTGTGCCTTCATCTCCAGCAGCTTTGCCATGTCCTTTGCAATCTGGGGAGAACAAGGAAGGAGCTGGAGGTGAGCCCAACCCACAGGCCCCCTCCACGCCTTCAGCCTCAGCATTCCCAGCACACCCAGAGCCCTCAGCTGCAATGCATCCACTATTCCCAGTCTCCCCCAGTAACCAGAGGGGTACTCCCTGCTCCCACAACAAGCACCCTCAGCACCCCCACCACTCTCTGACCCCCCAGACCACCCACCACCAGCTCCTCCTACCTGCACCCCAGCATCCTCCTCCCAGCTTTAACACCAGCCCAACATCCTCCTCCTCCTCCCCAGTCTAACACCAGTATCACCAGTTCCCACTCCCAGTCTCCCTCGCATCCTCACCTCAGCAACCTCCAGCCCAGCGCTCCCATTCTGCACCACATCCCCCTTCCTACCCTCACCACCCCCAGTTATCCCCACACCACCACGCCCAGTAACCCCAGTTACCTCAGCAGCCCAACCC